CCAAGGGATGTTCCTGCTGGGTTTTTACTGGTTTTCCCGGGATTTAGGTCTCATCCCAGGAGCTTTGTTTTCCAGGGATTCCCATGATTTGGGATTTTCCAGGAGTTTCCATCCCTGAGTTGGCTCATTCCAAGGGACTTTTTTCCCAATTTTTCCAAGAAGGAGCTTTGTTTTCCAGGGATTCCCATGGTTTGCTCCAGGTGGGATTTTCCTGGTGTTGCCGTCCCCGAATTTGCTCATTCCAATGATTTTTCCCAGTTTTCCCAGTTTTTCCATTTCCAAGAACCAGCTCTCATCCCAGGAGCTTTTATTTCCAGCTATTCCCAGTTTGGAATCTTGATCCAGTTGGGATTTTCCAGGAGTTGCCATCCCTGAATTCCCTCAATCCAAGGGATATTCCTGCCATGATTTTTCCTGGTTTTCCCAGGATTTAGGTCTCATCCCAGGAGCTTTGTTTTCCAGGGATTCCCAAAGTTTGGAATCTTGTTGCAGTTGGGATTTTCCAGGAGTCACCATCCCTGAGTTTGTTCATTCCAATGATTTTTCCCGGTTTTCCCAGTTTTCCCAGGAAGCAGCTGTGATCCCAGGATCTTCATTTTCCATGGATTCCCTGGAATATTTCCCAGGGATATTCCTACTATGATTTTTCCCAGTTTTTCCAGTCCCAAGAAGCAGCTGTGATCCCAGGATCTTTGTTTTCCAGGGATTCCCACAGTTTGGGATCTTGTTGCAGTTTGGATTTTTCAGGAGTCACCATCCCTGAGTTGGCTCATTCCAAGAGATATTCCTGTTGTGTTTTTCCCAGTTTTCCCAGGAGCTTTGTTTCCCAGAGATTCCCATGATTTGGGATCTTCCAGTTGGGATTTTCCAGGAGTTGCCATCCCTGGATTGCCTCATTCCAAGGGATATTCCTGCCATGATTTTTCCTGGTTTTCCCAGGATTTTGCTCTCATCCCAGGAGCTTTGTTTTCCCAGGATTCCCACAGTTTGGGATTTTCCAGGAGTTTCCATCCCTGAGTTTGCTCATTCCAAGGGATATTCCTGCAGTGTTTTTCCCAGTTTTCCCAGGAGTGTTTTTTTCCATGGATTCCCTGGAATATTTCCCAGGGATATTCCTGCTATGATTTTTCCCAGTTTTTCCAGT